TAGCTAGGGCTAAAGCAGCGACCCTTCCAAATTAAATAAGGTGCCTAGTCAATACAGGCTTTAAAGCAATCCATAAATAAAAAGATGAGAGCATGTCCTCAGTGGGAGGTGTGTACATTCAGAAACCACTGATGAACAGAATCATAAGGATTTAACAGAAAAAGGAGATAGTATATTATTTATAAGCAAGAGAGTACACTTGCGACACCCTTTACAAACAAACTGTCATTAAAAATAGTTTGTCAGGAAATAAAACATATCTATGTATGAAAACATTGTAAACTAGTCTCAAGTAAGGATACATTTGCGTTACTGTGAAAAATTAAGAGGACAGCACTGTAGGTGTTATAGCAATGTGACATGCACTTACATGAATGAATCCAGTGTATTTCTTGTCTATTTCCACAAGCTGCTGATCTGATTTGTTCCGCATGGACGGCTCAGGGTCTGTTCCCATGGCAATCAGATATGGCACACACTGAAAATGGCACAAGCAAAATAAGGCATTATATGAAACACTATCACCAATAAATTGAAACCTGAAAGACAGTCCATATTATAGAAAGGTTTACTGGACTTCTGTAGTAAGAAAGGCTACGGCTTTCTACCTGAACAGGATGAATGAGGCCTTGATTTAAAGTCAAAGCAATGACATTGAGAGCGAAGTGGCGCACACTGGATTGGGTGCTGAAGAAAGACTCCAGGACCTGCTTGAGGTAAAGCTGCATAATGGAGCTGCTCATCCCTGAGGAAATATCTCCCATTTCTTTTAAGTCTTCTTGCTTGGACATCTTTTTCCCTAAAGATCAGGGCACAGGTCACTTTAGTAAAGACTACAAACACCATGCAACCATAAGGAAATAAACAGAATCAAACAGACAATATGGAAATACAGTTACTGTGATCACATGCGTTGGTGAAAGGATATCACATTGTGACTGCCCCTGCTATTTACTGTGCAGCATCCCAAAACTGCATCTGAGCACTATTGCGTTTGAGTATGCAATTCATTGCCATGAGCATAGTGCAACAACTTCAAACAAAAATACATAAATAATGATGTATTTTATTTGGCTTGCACAGTGTGAAATTTGATGCCATTTGAAAATAGATTAAATTTTTTTTTCCTATGAAGTGCAAGTGTTTCAAAGTTACATGACAGGGTGTCTGTTAAAGTCTAATAGCCTTAATATTCTCCAATAGCAGGGCATGCAATTGGCTATGGACGGTCTATGAAAAGCTTCCAGCACCAGAGCATGGTCTCTGTAACTTACAGTCTCGGTCTGCCTGTTGCATCCGCGTGTCTTCTTCTTGCAAGTAGGTTTGAAGGTTTTTTAAAACCTGAATTTTCAAATTCACCGAGCAGTTCTTATCTGATAGGAGGTTGTTGTATAGATTTTTCACGTCCACTTCAAACATTAGAATCGGGTGCTGGATGAATGAAAAACCTTAGGAGAACAAATAGCATAATGAGCCACAGTAATAGGAAGTAAACTCAGGCCATAGCTTGAAACTCCACAGGTGGAAAATGATTTAAGCATGAACTGTAACTTTAAAAACAATGTGACAGGAATACAATTAACTGAAGGTAAGAATATGAAATCACTTACCAAGACCGATAATGGCTTTTGTCTGTACCTCCTCATCTGAATGCTTTGTAAAGTACAACAATAGCTCAAGAACTTTATCTTTTATGTTCACCTGAAAAATGAAACCAAAAAAAATCATTTTCATTGGTATTGAAATGGTTGGACAAAGCTTGAACTACATAGTGCTTTTGTGATAGATGCAAAATAGTATATCAGTGGTGGCTCGGCAGGCAACTACAACTCCCATAACATTTTCAGCTTGGAAGTCTTGAACAGAAACTGAGAATTTTACTCTACCGTGTAAATGCCATGGTCCTGTAAATACTAAATAGTAGCATTTAAATACAGCATGTGAGATATTGAGGTATGAAACTTCAAGAAGCTAATAATGAAATATTTACATAGGTGCAACTATTAAAATGACAAAAGAAAATGTCCTATGAGTTGTGAATGTTTACTTAAAGCCACATGCCTCCAAGTGACGTGTATAAATATGATTCTCATGTCAAGTCCTATCAGACTACTAGACAATAGGGAACTAATAACATTCACACCTTCAAACATAAGCACTAATTTAATGATGGAATAAAAACAGTATCAGCGCTTAGTTAATATACCCCTATTTTTTGTATATGGGTCAACAACAAAAATATATTGAATAAATTAAATAAAGAGTCCCAGTTTCAATCTTCATGGGGTGTTTTCAAATGTCCGCAGGGATTTGATAGTTGTAACAGTAATTGATGTAAAAAGACTTTGTCTTTATATGTATCCAACAATTAAAAGTGGTGAAACTTATTTCTAAGGTTCACAATAAAAATGTAGAAATGCAGAATATTGGTAGGTGAATATAAAGTTACCGCTCCATGGGTGTTATTTCCAGACCGGTCCTGTGCACTCGGATCGATCCTCACTGGGAAGCCAACTAGCCAATCTTACTGCAGTCTCTCCAAATTAAAAAATCCCGCCAGAAACACGATCTACGCGTTTCACTCATTCAAATGAGCTTTCTCAAGATACCTGCAGTAAGATTGGCTAGTTGGCTTCTCAGTGAGGATCGATCCGAGTGCACAGGACCGGTCTGGAAATAACACCCACGGAGCGGTAACTTTATATTCACCAACCAATATTCTGCATTTCTACGTTTTTATTGTGAACCTTAGAAATAAGTTTCACCACTTTTAATTGTTGGATACATATAAAGACAAAGTCTTTTTACATCAATTATTGTTACAACTATCAAATCCCTGCGGACATTTGAAAACACCCCATGAAGATTGAAACTGGGACTCTTTATTTAATTTATTCAATATATTTTTGAATAAAACCTATCTTGAGAAAGCTCATTTGAATGAGTGAAACGCGTAGATCGTGTTTCTGGCGGGATTTTTGAATTTGGAGAGACTGCAGTAAGATTGGCTAGTTGGCTTCCCAGTGAGGATCGATCCGAGTGCACAGGACCGGTCTGGAAATAACACCCATGGAGCGGTAACTTTATATTCACCAACCAATATTCTGCATTTCTACGTTTTTATTGTGAACCTTAGAAATAAGTTTCACCACTTTTAATTGTTGGATACATATAAAGACAAAGTCTTTTTACATCAATTACTGTTACAACTATCAAATCCCTGCGGACATTTGAAAACACCCCATGAAGATTGAAACTGGGACTCTTTAATTTATTCAATATATTTTTGTTGTTGACCCATATACAAAAAATAGGGGTATATTAACTAAGCGCTGATACTGTTTTTATTTCAATTTATGTCACACATGATGTTTTAAAACTTGGGAAGGTTTTTAGTGTATCCGGCAGCTTTGTATTAACTTTTTCTTGTGGATAATCATAATTTGAAGCACTTGCTTCGAAAATCCACTATTTTACTGATATTTTTTTTGCGCTCTCTATAAACCTGTTTTTTTCACTAATTTAATGATTTTTACATGCAATGGCAATGAATGAGATGAAAAAAATGGATTACAAACCGCAATATTTACTTTACTGCTTCCTTTGAAGTCTTCCTGATCAAAATCAAAATGGCGACACAATGCTCCAACTGTAAAGAGGGATCGAAGAAGTGCTGGCTTGTTTGTAGTGAGGACAGTACTGTTTGGGTCTTCTTGATGCTGACTTTTTAATTTTAAAAGTGCTCCTGTAAGAAAAAAAGAAAAAAAAAGAATTTACAAAAAGAACAAAAAACTAAATTTATAATACAAAACTATACAAAATAAACACGCTCAAACTACACATACACCTGTGCGACATGTTGGCTTTTATTTAGAGCATAAACTAAATGCCAAGAGAGCTACACAACAGGGAGCTTCTACTCCTACAGCACATCTGCAAAACCAACTTATACCACACAGGTGACAATATCAGAATTCTTGCCACACAGACTATTAAAACTATTTCAAAACAAATATACATTTTAAATACCAGCAGAAATCTATGGTAATATTATCTCTAGCAGTTTTTAGATATTTTGCAAAGATAGGAAAAAGATTTAACAATGAAGTATATCCTAGATGTAAGATGTCCGTGTTTCATCTATACCAGGGATAGGCAACCTTCGGCACTCCAGATGGTGTAGACTACATCCCCCATAATGCTTACTCCCATAATGCTGGCAAATCATCATGGGAGGTGTAGTCCAACACATCTGGAGTGCCGAAGGCTGCCTATGCCTGGTCTATACAAATAAATCGAATAATAGACATGACGTTCCCGAACTATGCATATAGCATTACTTATAACGAACACCGTGCTGTTTATATTCATGACAGACTAAACCTCTGCGCCAGCAACCAATACAACTGGTGTTGTCAAGAGTTTCAAAAATATTAACACTATGCAGCCTAACTTGTGCTTACAAGTCACAATACTTTCTTACCATAATATCTGTTAAAACAGGCCCAAACAAACTTATAATTTTGGGTTACTTTATTTACAACCGCTCCCAGACAACTGACACAATGCTGGACCACCTGAAATGGAAATAAATAAGATTAAATGTTAGTATAAATACACATACATTCAGGATATACATTATATATACTGCAAGCCCAGAGGGATAATGGTATACTCACCAGGGGTGAACATTTTGAGCAGTGTGTGTATTTTTGCTTATATATAAAATACACACATATATTCAATAATAGGGTTTCAAAAATCAAGCATATCATTTCAAACGTACTATAGGTTATACCAATGATGTCTAGCTTTGGCAATGGCTTTAATTTAAATGCTGAAAGTATTAGCCATCACTAGAGTGCTCTGTTAATTGCACATGTAAATGAATGGACTTCATGTACATGGAATCATTCCATATAGCACTGGCACTATACGTTATCAAGTTGGTGCTGGACAGCAGTGACATCACATGTGATGTCTTACGTGTGGTAAGCCGCATGATGTGCATATAGGAATGTTATGTTTAAAGTATCACTATAGGCACCCAGACCACTTCAGCTCAATGAAGTGGTCTGGGTGCCAGGTCCATCTAGGGTTAACCCTGCAGCTGTAAACAGTTTCAGAGAAACTGCTATGTTTACAATAGGGTTAATCCAGACGTCACATTGAGAAATGCTTTCCTATAGACTGATTGAATGAGCACAGCTCTTGACGTGCATGCGCATTCAGCGCTGACGTCGGAAGATGGAGAGAGTTCCCCAACGCCGAGGGAGCCCAACGCTGGAGAAAGGTAAGATTTTAACCCTTTCCGCCCGGCGAGAGTGGGACCCTGAGGGTGGGGAGGGGATCTAAAGACCCTATAGTGCCAGAAAAACAAGCTTGTTTTCTTGGCACTATAGTGGTCCTTTAAGGGGTCAATTTGACTACCTATTTCAACGGTAAACATACTAAAATCATTAGCAGCACTATTTAACATATTTAACAAACATCTTTGAATCAGAAGATTGAAAAAGCAAAAATAATACTTGCTACCTCAGATACAATATAATTTCTACACGACCAAAAAGAAAACCGATAAGCACTATATATAAATGTTAGTGAAGAATGAGTGGCTTACCGTCATGCCGTATTTGATAATAAGCTTCATGAGATCTTCCTCAATTGTTGCCAAGAATGTCTCGCTGGGGTGCTCCATAAGCGGGACAACCAATTCTAAGATTTTGGCAACATTGCATATCACCATGAAATCATTTTGTGTCTGTTAAAAAGAAAACCGTGTGAAATGCATTTAAAAAAATGAGGGGGACCAAGATCACCGTACAAGTTAATTTAGGCTTCAACATTTCAATTTAAAGGTATAATGTGAATGAATCCTTTTTCATTTCATTCTGGTTAAAGTATTGCATACAGCATTATTCACTTAAAAAAAATAAATTAAAAAAAAGAAGAATATTGCCAGATATTCAAAGTGAATTTAAAATGTAAAGCAAAAATAGCGGAACTGGAAGCATAGCTAACTATTACAACCAGTTTGGCAATTTTGGCCTTAAATCGGAAATTAATTTTGCATTGCCAACAATTTTTCCTTTAGTAAATAACACTCATAGTTTCTCTATTATGGCCATCAACCTTAAATTAGTTCACTGAGTTTGTGTTGCAGATAGTAAATATCTCAATGCAGTGGGAGTTTATAATTCTACCTAAACTAGAGATGTATTATTATTTTGCTTTTTAAAGGGAATTTGAAAAGCATGCCTACTGAGCAAAACAGAGGACATTTAAATACCAATTAAAAATAAATAAATACAAGATTCAAAAAAACGGTTTGTAAAACAGATTACATGGGGAGTACATGAAGTCTGCTAAGCTTGGAATATTGTGTCATATGTACTTACGCTACATTTAGTGGTAAGGTAAGGCTGCATGGTCATGGCATGCTTAACCATAAGCTGAGGCCGGATTTTGCTGAATAAGAACAGAGTGGTTATGCAAGCAACCAAACGACCGGAATTCACACCTTTGCTGTCAGTCTCTGTAAATAAAATACAAACAGGGGATTAAAAAGACATCAGTGAAATAATTTACTAAGCCTGGTGTGCTGAAAGAAAAGTAGTTTTCTTTGCAACAAACTGCAGAGATGAAGGGTGGGATAATGTGCCATAACTACAAGTTCAAAAAACACAATTATATGCTTTAATGGATTAAATTTTTTTTGAATGATGAGATTCGAAACTAGTCAAAAAGTTTTTATTTTAAAAATAAACTTTTTTTTCTTGCCGCCTTGGAAAATCTGCTTGGCTTTTAGGGTTCCTCCTTTCTTCCAGAGAACGCATCTGAGGTGAGTTACAACGTTTAAGGGGTCTGTGATGTATGCATTACAAAATTAGGCTGAAATAATAGCTTTGGAAGAACATACCAGCCATGGACTCCTCGTATTTCAGGATGTGCTCGACAAGGTTGTCAACCAGCTGGGTGCAGGCTTTCTTCACGGGTTTATATGAAGCATCTTCTTCGATCTTTAACAGCTATCAAGCAAACACAGTCACGGTGTAAAACAAATCTGTTAAGTGATTAGGTCTTATTTAACTACTCAAGCCAAAATGTTATGTTTAGCAACAAAAAATGCCAAGTTAGAGCTATCCATTTATTGCACCCTCGATCAGATGAGAGGAGACCAGAATAGCTTGTGGAATTAGAATAGAAGAATGTGGGGAATAGTGAGAACATCAAGAGCAGCGGTGTAATCTATGATCGAGACATATAACATCAAAATTGCAAATATCTGTTAAGTGCTCTCCCTTGTATAATGAATAGCACCGTTTAATCAGCAATAGTGCCAAGTCCTACATAAAACTTTTAGAGGGATGCACAGTTTCCAGGTGCAAGGGTAGACCAAAAGTAGGTAATTAGATTTTTAGCTATACTCACATTCTGAAGAAGTTGCTCAAACCAGTCATAGCCTGTATCCCTACAAGCTGCAACCTAAAATACGGAGGGGTACAGTGAATAACTAGATAATAATTGCAACAATACATTACGTTAAGTTAGGAAATATATCCTTTCTTACCACGTCTGTTATATTCAGGATTTTCCTGGTCATTGCTTCCTTATCGTTCTGAGGTGTTGGGGTGAACCAGAGCTTCTGGAATGTTTCATTTACTAGTTTCTGAAAGAAGTGATTATTTTACTTCCATTACATGTAGACATTATTAATCTGCACACATTTCATGTGGGAAGGGGTGGGGGGTACGGTATATAAATTCAAAATGAGACCTCACGAGAGAGAGAGAGAGAGAGAATACACATATATAATCATGGAAAATGAGGAAAATTAATTGTGCAGACAGTGTTTGTGAGAAACATTCTTATACAAGAGCACAAAGAGGAGAAATTAATGCAGAAAATAGAATGCTAGTCATAGAAAGGATTTAAAAATGCCTGTAAATTTTTTTTTTTTAGAGAGAAAAAGGTCCTTACAGAAACAAATATCTGTACTACTACTTGTTTATTAAATGTACACTATGAGAAAATTAGGAAGAGCAGGTCAGATGGACACATGAACATTTTTCTAAATGAGACATGTGATATAATATTTCAAATAGTGTGGAAATGGCTGAAAATTCAAAAAAAATCGATTAAATAGATGGCAGATCATGAACAATCTTTCAAAACTTGGGGCAAAATAACTAAATGAAAGGAGGGAAAAAATCATCTCATTTGGTTGATTTGTAGAAATAAGTCTGTTACTTTGGTCAAATTTAGTCTGTGCTCACTCACCTTTCATGAATACACTGAATGTCATTAAAATAAAGTTCTCTGGTTTAAACAAAAGGTATGCAAGACAAAATACCCCTTTTGGTGGTTTTACTGTGCAGCAATGATATATGCAAAAATGTTTTTTTTCTTTTCTTCTTACCTTAATGCCCTCCTCATCATTCACTCTGCGGATCATTTTCACACACATCTCAGTGATTTTTGGAAATGTTGGTTGCTCCAAGCAAATGTCTCTTAAGATTTTTATTACTCTTTTCCTTACACTGATACCAGTGTCCTGCACACAGACAAGAATGGAACAATCATGAAAACCTTTATTCATACAATAGCTTGTTATTCAAGTTTTAGGAACCAGATATTGTGAACAGAATTGTTGTACTTGACAGACAACCCCCTATGCTTTCATTTAATATTAGAACGATTTCCATTTCTTTTTTTTAAAGTAACTCATTTTAAAGTTGCTGTTAAAAAGAGCAAATATTTACTTTTATGAGAATGGTAGATTTTATTCCTACCTTATCTGAAGTACCTAAAAAGCAACGATCTTATTTTTATTTAAAGCAATTGGTTTGAAATGGAAATATAATTTTTTTTTCTTGTGTATTTTTCAGACACAAATTGCAGTGTTGTATGGATTTTGTAAAATAAGTTCAAGTGCAGAAAAATACAGCACATTTTACTCAGCAGGAAATGTACAAGCTCTGCAGTAGCAACAATCCCAAATCAGAAATTTGTCAGATGAGACATTAAAAAACCGAAAAAACACACTTTTAAAAACCCATACGTTTCAGCATCATGTCCTTAATCATGTATGAGTACATGATTAAGGCTGTGAGATGAAAGGTTGTAAATGTGTAGGTCTGACAATAAATCTCTGATTTTAGATTGCCGTTATTGTGCAGCCTGTAATTTTTCCTGCTGTTTACATTAGTTGTGGATTACGGATCCACCATACAGTGGTTGCAGTTGTTATTTTGTTACATTTCCTATGTCCAACACTTTGTCTATTGCACTGGTAAGTTTTACTCCGCTAAATCCCCAAAGTAACGACATGTGCAGAAATGAAATCTTTTCCGACTTGACTTTTGTCACTTACTAATTTTTGGGAAGCTGCAGATCGGCCAGACTACAAACATAACAAGTTAAGGCTATCTCTGCATTAGCTCATTGACACCTAAAGGAACCTATCACTGATTCCATGTAAAGGTGAGTTATATCACACGTAGCTTGTGATCACTCAGATCACACACTGTCATTCTCTCCAGTAATGGAATGAAGTCAGTGAGCTATCACAGCAGAAGCTGGCAATCACTCAGCTAACACACTGCTTTCCTCTACAGTTAACAGAAGGAGATCAGTGAACTATCACAGTATTAGCTAACAATCACTCAGATAACACACCGTTATTCCCCCCAATAACAGAATGAGATCAGTGAGCTATCACAGTATTAGCTAGTAATCACTCAAATACACAGTTATTCCCTCCAATAACAGAATGAGATCAGTGAGCTATCACAGTATTAGCTAGTAATCACTCAAATACACAGTTATTCCCTCCAATAACAGAATGAGATCAGTGAGCTATCACAGTATTAGCTAGTAATCACTCAAATACAGTTATTCCCTCCAATAACAGAATGAGATCAGTGAGCTATCACAGTATTAGCTAGCAATCACTCAGCTAACACACTGTTATTCCTTCCAATAACAGAATGAGATCAGTGAGCTATCACAGTATTAGCTAGCAATCACTCAGCTAACACACTGTTATTCCTTCCAATAACAGAATGAGATCAGTGAGCTATCACAGTATTAGCTAGCAATCACTCAGCTAACACACTGTTATTCCTTCCAATAACAGAATGAGATCAGTGAGCTATCACAGTATTAGCTAGCAATCACTCAGCTAACACAGTTATTCCCTCCAATAACAGAATGAGATCAGTGAGCTATCACAGTATTAGCTAGCAATCACTCAGATAACACAGTTATTCCCTCCAATAACAGAATGAGATCAGTGAGCTATCACATTATTAGCTAGCAATCACTCAGATAACACAGTTATTCCCTCCAATAACAGAATGAGATCAGTGAGCTATCACAGTATTAGCTAGCAATCACTCAGATAACACAGTTATTCCCTCCAATAACAGAATGAGATCAGTGAGCTATCACATTATTAGCTAGCAATCACTCAGATAACACAGTTATTCCCTCCAATAACAGTATTAGATCAGTGAGCTATCACAGTATTAGCTAGCAATCAGATAACCGTTATTCCCTCCAATAACAGAATGAGATCAGTGAGCTATCACAGTATTAGCTAGTAATCACTCAGATAACACACAGTTATTCCCTCCAATAACAGAATGAGATCAGTGAGCTATCACAGTATTAGCTAGTAATCACTCAAATACACAGTTATTCCCTCCAATAACAGAATGAGATCAGTGAGCTATCACAGTATTAGCTAGCAATCACTCAGATAACCGTTATTCCCTCCAATAACAGAATGAGATCAGTGAGCTATCACAGTATTAGCTAGTAATCACTCAGATAACACACAGTTATTCCCTCCAATAACAGTATTAGATCAGTGAGCTATCACATTATTAGCTAGCAATCACTCAGATAACACAGTTATTCCCTCCAATAACAGAAGAAGATCAGTGAACTATCACAGTATTAGCTAGTAATCACTCAAAAACACAGTTATTCCCTCCAATAACAGAATGAGATTAGTGAGCTATCACAGTATTAGCTAGCAATCACTCAGCTAACACACTGTTATTCCCTCCAATAATTAAGTATTTGAATTTTATCACAGTAGCACCTAGTGATGATTAAGATTATCTTTCCCGTCTACTTACCAAAATTCTCTCAATCAGCATATCATAATACTGCTCTGCAAGCTGAGGTCGACACAGCACAAACCGACCAAGAAGCTCCACAGCTGCCTCTCGAACACTGGTTGAGTTATCCATCAGCCTCCCATGAACTCCTCTCTGCATATCCAGCTGAAGGAAAGGAACAACTAGAGGTTACCTAAACCACACACTAAAAGGTGTTTTAAAGAGCAGCAGAACAACCTGCACTATTAAACCTCAGCCTTACCCTTGCAAGAATGCTGGGATCTACAGCAACTACTTCGGATAAACATTTCATGGCTTTTGTTCTAACTGCAATAGCATTCTCCCCAAGTACCCGCAGAATCTGTGGAAAAATCAAAATATGAGACCATAATTAATTTAAAAAAAAAACCTAAACTAAAAAGTTTAAAAAGAAAGAACAGTGCCTTGTTGTATGCCAACCAAGTACCATTTACACAAGGGTCATCTTATATAGAAAGAGATATTTATATCTGGAATTACTGCCTTTTTAATGAGCCTCTAGCAAGACACACACAGGAACGGAGTAAAAATTTTAATCAGAGCCTTTACCTGAGTCAAATAAATATCAAAGCTCTGAGCGAACGGCCTCATAGAGGCCAAGTATCGTACAATTAAACAAGCATCATCATAGTCCACAGTGTCTGAGCTTGACCTGGAGGGAAATAAGACATGGAGTTATAAACATATAATTCAACCTAGAGGAAGAGCAAAGGTAAATAATGTGAAAATCATACTTCAAAGTGCTAAACTGAGATGGCGCTGTTTTAATGATGTTCCTGAGGAACTTTTTGCGTTTCTCTGCTCGCTGCATAATATCACCCGTGGATTCAATTTCTTTTGTATGATGAGCTCCATCAGATCCATCGTCGTCCTTTTGGGATTTCATGGCTTTCTCAGTCTCCATTGTAGTGTCCCGAAACCACTGGGCTATATAAAACTTTCTAGAAAACTGAAGGAAAGGAGTTTGTGAACAGTTTAGGAAAAGTTTTTACCAACTTTGTGTCTTTTGAAAGGATCATTCGCATATAGTAATTTAATAGCCCAATCGAAATGATTGAAAGCTGGCAAAACTTACCACTAGTGATGGATCAGTCTCTGTATTATCCTCCAAATAATCTAGTAGGGCTTTCTGGAGCTGCTGAATTTCATCCTCACCTTTTGGGGCCTGCACAAAAAGAAAAAAACAGTTAAAGGTAATGAAGACCGCCATAATCATTTGTGTGGAAATTTACCATGTTTATTAGAAAAATGGGATAACTATGGCCAGGTTATTACATTTATTAACAAAACAGTTAAAAAAAGAAGGTGGGAGCTATAAATACTTTGACTGCAATGAAGAAACCTCAGCTTCTGTTTCTAACTAGTGATTTTAGCAAAGTGATTTCTGGGTAATATTTGCGATGCCATAGAGTTTATAGTAAACTGCTATACATTCTACCGAAGCAGGTTTAAACTGCACAGATGGGTGTTGATGCCCCCAGTAGAAGAGTGCAACTGTTAAGGGGAACAAAACAAATATTTGAGTATATTATAAAATAAGATTGAATTTAAAAGTGATAATTTGTAGTCCATTTTCTTATATGTTCAAAGTGGTTATGCTTTCTGTGTAGATCGGTCACGTAAGTCAAAGTAATGCAGTATAATTCAGGTTACCTGTTTAAGGATCCGATCGATTGATCCCTGGTCCATTTTGCTGGTAACTGCATCTTTTCTGAGCCTTGCAGCCACAGTGCCCAAATAATCCAAAGAAGCTACTCTGAGTGCCATCTCCGTCGACTTGTTACTAAACTGATGCACCTACACAACAATTAAAAAATGCATTATATATCTAAGTTGTGGACTCTTAATGGATCATTAAAATCATTCCTTGTTCCTACTTGTATATTTTTTACATTAAGACAAGAACTATTTTATCTAGAATAAATTAAATAAATAAATCACAAAAAAAACCACTAGATCATTATGGTTTCACAGAGTGGAATCATAGAGTGCTTAGGATCAAATACAACTCTATCAACAGCTTAAGCATTTTAACTTAAATTTGCATATTTGTTCTCAAAATTCTGTTTAAGTTTGGAGATCTTTTTATACTTTTGGAGCTGGTTTTAATAGGATGTGTGGAATAGGTGGGTAGGAAGTAGGGAAAGCTGCAATGAGTTAATGTGCTTAAAGTTGCAGTGCAAAAACAAAGTCCTGTATCAGTTACCTTTTCCATCTATACATTGTGCGGACAAAGGCAAAAGTGTGATTAAAATTATATTTCTGTTTATCTCAGCCACTTCCAGGTTGCATTCACATTGAAGGTTGGGGAGCAACCTTATCCTACTAGGCACTGCAATAAGGAACAGATTATCCCTCTCGCACAATGTATAGTATACAAAACACCTAAAGGAATACTAAAGTGTCAAGAATAAAGACATGCATTATTTAGGTGATTAGCCCCCCTCCAATCACAGGGGAAATTGTTTTTAATCACTCCCTCCCCCCCATCTTGATGATTTCAGCCAATACTTTGCTTTCCTACTAGGAAGCTATTCGGCATGTGTTTGACACCACGCTGCATCGGTCAGCATCTCCTCATAAAAATGCATTCAGTCGGTGCATATCTATGGAGAACGTTCAGCGTCTGAAGGTAGGCGTTGTGTGAAGCACTGAGATAGGAACCACCACTGGTGGCCATCTGAGTGACTGCCACTAGAGGTGTTACTAGCAGCAATGTAAACACTGCATTTTCTTTTAAAAGTCAGCTTTTATATTAAAAAGCATGAAGGTACATCCTATAAACACCAGAACAACTACATTAAGTTGTAGTGGTTCTGGTGACTAGTCCCTTTAATTTAAAAGATATCTAATTGCTTGCATCACAAAATCCTTGAGCATTACATGCTTTATTTTCCTTTGTAGGTAATTTAATTTGTTTAATCTCGCTTTCTGCCGTAAGTACTTCAGTTTATCACACTACTTTAATTGAGCACTGTGATGTGTCGCCAATTTATAGTGCCCTATATTATTCTTTAAACCAGTGTGTTCACAGAAATTACTTACATTAAAATATCTACAACCCTGGGGGTTAGAACATACAAATAAAGAATTTTATCATGGATTGCTTTGGAGAAGAGAAAAAAAAATCATGCAAAAATGTATGGATTTAGACTGCATACATGAGAATATAATTAAAGTCTAGATTATAAAGCCTTACCAGAAGTCTTCCCAGTAAGCTGAGGAGCAGTTCTGCAGCAGGCCACTCTGGTTTGTTAACTGTAGAAAGAAGGTCCTGAACGAAGTTCTCAAACAGTGGCCTGTAGTCCTCCTCCCCCTGTTTGCTTCCACACCTGGGGAATATACTGTAAAACTTTTGGAAAATGCTCACTTAAATCCAAATTTTACATAGAAGAGCTGCTATGTTGTCAGAGGGTTTGGAATTCCTCAATGTAACTGGTTAATTCAGTACTTCGTTAGCGGTAGAAATCACAACATGATCAAAGCAAGCACCAATAACTCACTTTTTCAAGAAAATTGAGAGAAAATTCTGTGCTGTTCTCATGGCTGTTTCATAGGAGTTTGTGATGAACACATCTTGGTCAACCTGGAGACACAGAAGACATTATGAAACAAACAAAATTAAAACAATCAAAATATAAATAATCTGTAAAAGTATTACTTTTTTGTTCGATGACTCTTCCTCTGCATTGTCTCTATCTGATGGTAGATGGACCACACACTGTATGAGCTGTAAGACCAAGGCTGTCACCATCTGAATGTACATTGCTTCTCCATCGTCATCACTGCTGTTTAACCTGATAAAGCATTCAATCATATTATTATGGCGCCAATTTATATGGCGCCAACAAATTCCGTAGAGCTTTACAATATTATAGGAGAGGGAGTTTTAACAATAAATGTTACAATTACAAAAACCTACAGGAACAATATGATGAAGAGGACCCTGCTCAAAAGAGCTTACAGTCTAGAGGAGGTGGGGTATAAAACACAATAGGACAGGATTTTTATTTATACAAGTTAATTGAACCTTCATTACAGGGCGAGAAGTTTTTTTTTTTTTTTTTTACATATACTATAAAAACTAATAAGCACCAATACACCCCAAAAATAATATTGCATGCAGTGACTTAACATGAAAAAATACATTTTGTGGAGTATGAGTACCTGAAATTTCTCAAGCTCCTTTTACTAGTTGGTAGTCTTGCAAGAGATGTGAACAGCTCTTCCAAAATGAGCTGCCGATGCTTTTCGTACCTGGAAAATACCTACAAGAACATAGGACAAGTAATTGAAACCGGTTTCCAATTGTATGTGACGGGAGTGCCAAAAGCTATATACCCAACCCATCTTTCGGCATTTAATTACTTGAAGCCACTCTGGATCCCAGATCACACCCTTTGGACAGTTAGAGTTTTATTTTTTGAACACTTCCAGCATATCCAGGGTAAACAATCATTTATTTAAAATAACATGTATGGATAAGGAGAATGAATACTGCAACTATATATAAAACTAACAGAAACAGAAAATATTGGATAAACGGGTGAGATTTTCTGTTTTGTAGCCCTACACATGCAGTCTGCATGTATTTGAGTGAGATCACAAATGAGAAAACTAGTAAATGTTTAATGTGTAACCGTAAATTTAATTTAAAAAAAAAAAACAGACATTTTAATATTGTGATCGTGTGCTTCATGGAATTCTGGATTTAAACACTGGGTACAATAAAATTCTGGACCGAAAGCAATAAATGACGCAATAAATACATCTATAATCACACTAAATGGCATCTATACAAATAAATGAAAGCAAAGTTAAATTGGCAAAAAATGATTCAGTTTCAAGTAGCATGAGGTAGAAATAAAGGTGAGTTAAAGCCTGTGCAGGGAATCAGGGAGATGTACAATGCAATACCACAGACTTCTAGACACGTAACCAAAAACCTTATAAGGCCAACTCAAACGCAGATCAAGAAAATATCTATAAACACAGGGGGAAAAAAAACATAGTACATTCTTACCGCAGTGACCAACTTGATGGCGCAGAGCTGCAGTTCGCTTACATTTTCCACGAAAAATGGAGTAATCCCCATGGACGACACCTTTAGAGGGAAACAATAATACCAGTGTAAGCAGCAACGGTAATCAAATAGTAGCTAAACATACAAGATTCACTTTTTATTAGTGGTTAAATCCTGAACTAGAAAATAAATTAATTGCATGTGGAAAGTAGCATTTCTAAAAGCCTTCAAGGAATGTGGCAAAGGTGTTTTTTTGCCGTAATGTAAGAGAGCATGCATCATATTACCTGAAGTATAGTGGTGTCTGTAAGCAGCTGTATTTCCAACAGTTCAGATAAGCTGGCCACAATGTCACACACTTTATTATAGAGCATCACAATGACTCTCTGCTTGTGGGTCGAACACTTTGCTCGTTTCGCTTTAGAACTCATTAAGCCCCCTGCATCAGAACAGGCAAAATTAAAAGTTAAACGTCAAGAGCTGAAAACACAACTCTACAAGCACATCACAATAACTTCAAACGTGAATTTGACTGTGCAGTTACTGATAAATTAGGTGGAGGCGGTTGTTCTCCCCTATTAAATGTAATAGAGCATTCACATTATCATAAATTTTCAATAGCTTGACAAGATTCAGTCAGCTGACTGCAGTATATCACTCACCTCCATGGGGATCCAACCTATAGACAGGGTCGTATTGTGGATAAAGTGTGTTTTGTAGATGGAATTTAGTGTATTGAATAACATGTTCTATTACATCCTCTATATACACTGCCTTCGGCATGCTAGGTGAAGTCATAATGTTGATTGCCGTCAAACAGGCATCCGCAGATTTTGTCACTCGTTCCATAATCAGATCTCGCCATAGTTTTTCCTCATCTTCTGCATCATTATTCTAGGGAATTGAAGAAGAATTGCCATGTAATTGCCATTTCAACAAGTAAATAAACTGCATCGTATCAGCACACCAGCACTGAATCCACAGCTTGTTTTGATCTAGAAATCATTTTCCTAATCTGCTAAAACATTTAACTCCCAACACGTGCTCATTTCTGAGATTAATTTATTCATAAAATATTTTACCAGGAAGGATACATTGATATTTCTCTCGTTTTCAAGTGAATTGATGTAAATCATCAATATACTCACAGTGCTCTAACAATCATTTCATATTTTGAGCCATACAAAATATTAATTTATTTTTATTTTTAAACGACTGTGTGCATGTACGCTCTTATGCAACGGAGACCACTGTGCAAATAAAACTGTGGTGTCTAACATAAAGTAGCCCTTATATAGCTGCTTATGCATCAAATTCCTTTCAGATTTGATAGATTGAAATACCTATATTTCCTTGAACATGTCAGGATAAGAACCGGTCCCATGGCATTGAAGGAGAACCAGTAAATGCTTTGTTTTATTAAATCAAAAATAGTGACAAACATGTGTTTGACGCTTGACAAAGAACTTATAGAACATTGAAACGTTAGTCTGTCACGATTTTAATCCAATAAAACTGTTTGTTGTTTGCACACTGCTAGTGCCTGAAGATTCTTCTTTGTACTGTGATACAATATATACAAATATCCCAGACAATGATAGACACTTTAAACACACCAAAGAGCACCATGAGACATGACAGTAAGCATCATTGAGAAAAAAGATCTGTTTATTCTCAATAATACTTACTGTGGATACCTCACTACAATAATCCACAATGCGACACAAAACATCTGAACATAATTTTGTACACTATTGACAATAACATTTTTGGGCTCACTGTAAAAGATACTGAAATGTACCTTTTAAACTTTTTTTTTATACCGGGGAGGAAGGAGGGCACTTACATGGTTCATCATTGTTGAAAGCTTAGAACCATCCTGAATGTTCTTTTCAAGAATTCCTAGTAACTTGACCATTTTTTCAGAGGAGATCTGATGCAAATGAGAAATACAATTAATGATGATGTACAAGGTACTACAGACATTAATGGAATTATAAGGTGCATGGTAAAGAGCAACAAGGACATCACATGCCTTCTGTTTTCATTCAGTTTACCTTATTCGTAATGCCCATAGCTTTAATTTTAGCAGACTCACTCCCCAGCTCACTAAGCTGATGTTTGCCCAGGAGGAGCTCTTGCGGAATCTCATCATCATCACCTGAAAACCAATCAAGAATTAAAATTTTTAAGGGCCGATTTAGAAGATTTTGCAGTAGTAATCTCTAATCGGGATAAACAAACTTACCTAGAGATTTTAAGGATTATATAGTCACAAAAAAAACATACAAATGATTTTAGTTATAAAGCTTCAACATGTCGCACACAGATGTACATGAATCTTAATTAAAAACCGTTTTTGATACATGTTAGATTTTTATAAATGTATTTTTTTTAAAAAAAAATTACATTTGTACCTTGTTATATCTTTTTTATTGGACTAACAATTTTTTAATGACAAGCTTTCAGGAGCACCTCCCTTTCTCAAGTCTAAATCATTTCTGAGCAAGACGACACATAGAATTCAAAGTTGAGTTGAGATACAGGGGTTAAAGGACATGAGTGCAGATAAGACACAGGTGTAAAAGAAAATAGACCCCATTCTCGCAGAGGGTCGTAAATATCTTGTTGTGAAGATCACAGAGCGAAGGACGAGAGAGAGAAATTAAACGGCAGAATGAATATGCACAGAAACTCCATTAAACACCACAAAGAAGAATCCTACTGCACTCCTGTGGGAAACCATTTTACCCAGCCTTGCCACTTAATGAAGGACTCAAAAATCAAAGTACTGAAAGAAAAACATTTGAAGCCAAAATGATCCAATTGTTTTACAGCAAGAATAGAGGACTAAATATTGATTTGGGTTTCCTGTCCCAATACCAACACTTTACATGAACACTCCCTCAGCATTATCTTACTGTTCTGTCATATGTATCAAAACTTTAAAATGCATTTCAATGATATGTTTATTATATCTATATAGAAAATACTATGGGTAGACCTATGCTTTTATGCATGTATGCTTATATATGTGACTGTGCATTCATATTTGTGTATATGAGTTCATGTGCATGTATATGGATATGTTTATGTGTATGCGTATACACACACATATGTATGTGTGTGTATAAAGTGTATATATACATGAATACATGTATGTGTACATATACATAGGTCTATGTATGTGTAGGTACATGTATTGGTGCTTGTGTGTGGATGTATGTTTAGGTGTGGATGTACATATATTTGGGCATTTGGTTGTATTTATATGTATATTGTTGTATGTACTTGTGTATACTTGTACATATACACTGTGTACACACACACACACAAAATATAGGCCTTCATGCATATCCTGTAAGAGTGTTATATTAAAACCAGTTTAATTTGTAAAAAAAAATGCTGCAGCTCTATGCCCACAGAGCTGTCCATCAGGTATCCTGAATGCCCACTTATCGCCATCAGACATACCAAACACAACAAGCAAAATTAGGGGAAGACTATCTTTCTTCACAGGCTCTGTGAACAATGAATCAGGCAATATTTTAACTGAACTAACAACTGATCAGTTTAAAAAGATGTTCTGCTCATCAAGTGATGAGTGGAACTGCTCTTTGAGGGTGAACTGCTTAATCCCTTAAATCCTTGCCCATCAGATATTTAAGTGATAGGAATAGAACCCAAAGATCAGAATGAGCTACTCAAGAGATGAATGACAGGTGTGCCTGTAGCTGTGATCTATTGAACAGGAAAGAATTTAAAAACAAAGTCAGCCATAGGAGATACACACTTACAGCCTTGATTAATACAGACAAGAAAAATGGAAGAAAAGACAAACACAAACATTACAAGTTACTAAGCAACCTTTGTAATTTTAATAAACTTTTCTTATATAAAAATAAATTTAAATCACATTTTGAATAGCTCCCTTTTAAACTTACAAATACTGCTTTTAACATAAGAGAAACCTTACCAAATGCTGTGAAATCCATGTCTTCCAAATTGTCCAAAATATTTTCTACAGCTGAAGAAAATCTTTTGAATGTGGAGGAGTCCATCAATTCTATAGTAAGGAAAATATAGTAGAAACATTTATTTGATAACACCACACCTTTCTGCTAAAATGTAATACAAAATACGGAATAAAAAAATCTTTACTGACACACAAGAGTCATTTTTACTGCGATCCAAAGCTATCTATAGTTAAAATGTAGTCGCAGCTGTGCTCTGGGACATCGGATGAGCTAGGGTTTTAATAATAATTTTAAAAAAAGATTGTGCAAAAGTACATGGAATGTATTCACTAATAGAATTAAAATAAACATATGTATAGGCAACTTCCATAGCTACTAAAAATGGATACAATTTTAAAGCCATTAAAATTGTAGAAGCATAAAAATGTAGCAAACACTATTCCATATTTTATAACCGCTACATAACGAGTTACAAAATGAATACATTTGGACTAGTGTTCTCCAATGAAAATAGCTAACAAGTGAATATAACCTGGTAAAACTTGCTGAAATAAGCTGGTATGCTGGTAGGTTGAAAGGTAAAACAATAGTCACTTGAGGACGTCCTTAAGGTCATGGAGATATATAAAGACCACAAATATATGTAAGGAAAAGATGGTATAATCCTTATACTCCAAATGTGGTATAGCCAATTCAAGGTTAGTCCTCCATTGGTAAGAATAAGTCTCAGAGGGAGAAATGTATGCTGCAATAAGATGTTATTCAGACACCAATGTTCCATACTTCAGCATGCCAAAAATGTAATCAATTCGACTTTTTCCATATATATATAGCCCTAATATTATTAAGGATAGTCTTAAAGGTATAGTGCAGAGATAGGCAACCTTTGGCACTCCAGTTGTTGTGGACTGCATCCTCCATAATTCTCTTACACCCATAATGCTGGCAAATCATCATGGGAGGTGTAGTCCAAAAGATCTGCAGTGCACAGCTTGCCTATGCCTGGTATAGTGTGATACTCTAAGGTAAATACATTTTTAACACTATGGTGCAAGGGGCACGATATAAAGCAATAATACAAAGCAAATAATCAAAGGCTCAGTGTTTATACTGGATACTAAACAAATAATTGTATTATTAACCATAAATTTGTATGGTCAATATGAATATTATATTGGACAAATATACAAAAAAATGTACTATACAAAATTGATATACAAAGACTGGTCATCAGAATCAGGCAAAATTCTACTCACGATCTAATTGAAGGGTTTTTGGTTTCTAAATATTATTGGATGGTTTTGCAGCTCTTAAATATAAATTTCTAATATGACTGGTATCGGATTAAGTTGTAAATTAGCAGCGACAGCAGGATTCTGAAGACCAAATATTGCCTATCTATCCAGATTAAGTGGTTTCTGATAATCGTTCAAGAAACTTAATATTTGTAGTGCCCTTTATGTATGTAAAGGAAATACCAAAACAATTGCATTAATCCATGAAATAAACTGTTAGATTATAATGGGCTCACCCTACCAAATTAAAATATCGTCAATGAAGCAGCGATAGAAAGCCATGTTGCAGGATTATTCTGCCAAATATAAGGCTCATCAAAAGAGCCCATACAAAGATTGGCATTTGAAGGTGCAAAGCTGGCTCTCATCGCTGCTCCTTGCGGCTGTAAAGAAAATTTCTTTTTAAAAGAAAATTATGTGTAAGGGCTAATTCCATATATTTTAACCATGTCAAGGCTTGTAATTCAGGTAAAAGTGGATCATTTAAAAAAGGAATGTTGCTATAGATTGCCATGAATAACTTTTTCCGTTTTAAACAATTCAATAAATGACTAAAATCTTTAACAAAAGATGGAACCGGAGTAACGTTTTTGAAGATGGTAATTCATAAATGTGGATAAAGGAGAAGTAACTGAAACTACAGAGGGAATGACAGACCTCCCCGGTGGCTACTTGGCGCTTTTATGCGTCTTAGGGAAATAGTGGTTTGCAAAAATTTTATGCTCGGAAAAATGAGGACTGCGCTCAAAGTGTCCTTGCACTGTTACCAGTACAATACGCTGTGATAGTTATGGTGTTAGTGATAGTTATGTATAAAAATCCCTTTGAGCAAAGGTTTACAACAGTAGCTGGAATTGATTGTTATTAATGTTTAATTTTTCTGTATGCCATCAATATTCTTGCACTGAAACAGTTATTCAAATTACATGTTCACCTTAAGAGATAACAGCACCCAAAGCAACAAATAATTATCATGAGGTAACACACTATCCAGCCATCCGCCATGATTAGAGACTTATTATACTAATAATCCTCATATCCATCCCACCTCTGCCCCTAAAATACAATTGACACTGCTTAGGAAAATTTCTCTATGTAGAGCAATCCTCTCCAACGATTCCAATCGGGGTGAATTCATACCAACACATTGGCGTCTGCAAAGAGTGATATTTGTTACCTTCTGCCTATTCATCTCTAGCAAGTTTAAAACTTGTTATTCCATATTAACACATCATTTAGATACCACAAAGTAGAACCCTATACCACTGTTTCTCAATAACATATTTCTTACCTTCAGGCGTTAGTTTGGGCTCGTACGCTTTCCTTTTCTTCTGACGTTCCTTTTTCTTCATTCTCCGGGCCACTGTCATTTACAGAAGGTTTATTATTGTACAGACTAGATATAATTTATAAACAGCATCTCAATACAGACAAATCCATTATTAAACTATTTGCAAACTTGAAAATAAAATTTCTAGCTCCAACTACAAAACCTGGGTTATTAAATCTGCTTGTGTTTAGGAAATATTTGCCCATTTCATTAGATGACTGCAAAATAAAAAATGTTTTGAGCTGTAGACTTGCCGTCACTTAGACTTGGAGGTGGAGAATCTTCCATTTCAGAGTCCTCTGGGCTACGATCACGGTAGCGACTACTACGTCGACTGTCATTCCCACTGCGGCGGTGGTCACCAGAGCTTCTCCTCTCACGTTCTCCACATTGCCAATCTTCATCACGTCTATCTTTTTTCTGCCTTTTCTTGGATGCTGAAAGCAAATGTTAGAAAGATGCATAATCAAGAAATCAAACAGAAATACTGTATTTGGACCTAAAAGTAAATCTGTGACCTAGCGCTTTTTTCCAATCCTGATTGCACTCTAAATGTCATAACTTTGTAACATTCCTGGTCCATGTCTTTGTTCCAGTGTCCAGAGTGACTTAAAAGTGCAGCAATTTGTAAACTGTTGCAAACTACTAAGATTGCTCCCTGGAGAAATGCACTTCCTCCTTGCCATTCAACAAGTGTGTGTAGCGTGCACATACAACTTAAAGCAGCACTGTCATGCCGAATCTCGTTTTTCTTTTTTTGTAACCAGCCTCCACTATATCCAATTGACCCCCTAGTCCCCCCCCAAATGCCCCTAAGCCCCCCATATTACCTATTATTTTTTATTTTCTGCCCCGATCTATATTCAGGGCGCTGCCATCTTTGTGTGGGTAAATGAAGTCCCTGTGGGATACGTCATCTGCCCACACATGCCCAGTTAAACACTTGGACATGCGAACGGGAATTTCATCTATTCATTCATTCATCAGAGAAATGAATGAATAGAAAAATCAGAAGAACAAACTAACACTGTATCAGTGTTCGTTTGTTCGTTCAGTTTATTACAAGGAGGGAGCTACCGTTGCGCAGCTCCCTCCTTGAAAAATGTAAAAATAGAAGGGGCAGGGAGCAGTGCTAAGCCCCCCAGTTCCCCCCTCACTCTATGAGGGTCAATATGACCCCCATAATAGCATAAGGGAGATTAAAATCTCCCCAATGCCCCTACTCGCTATACCGCGTGTAGGGGCATGTCCACTAAACAGTGAGCAGCCTGTGGCGGCTCACTGAAAAAAAAACCCTCCTATCCGGCCCCCACCCCTGCGCAGCGGGTGGGGGCCCTAAATAACAATAAGGGGGGACGGACCTATTGTCCTCCCCCCGGCCCCCACCCCTGAGAGGCGGGTGGGGGCCATAAATTACAATTGGGGGGGACGGGGACCTACTGTCCTCTTGAGCGGCGGATCGGAGCCAAATGATAATGAGGGGGGGACCTAATGTCCTTCCCCCTCTCACCCCCCACCCCCCCTCCCCGGGCGGCGGCCATAATGATGGGGGCGACCTACTGTCCTCTCCCCCCCGGCCCCCACCCTTGAGCAGCGGGTGGGGGCCAAATGATAATGAGGGGGGGGGAGACCTACTGTCCTCTCCCCCCCGGCCCCCACCCTTGAGCAGCGGGTGGGGGCCAAATGATAATGAGGGGAGGGACCTACTGTCCTCCACCCCCCCTGCCCCCACCCCTGGGCGGCGGGTGGGGGCCATACTGTCAATGAGGGGGCGGGGGGCCGGACCTACTGTCGTCGTCCTCCCCCCTCCCTCCCCAAAAGGTTACTAGGGGTCCCCAAGCCCCTAATCACCCACCCACCCAAATAAAAAGGCCCCTACCTACCCCCTTCACTCTAAAAAATAGTGAGGGGGTTATAAAATTCCTAACCTGTCAAGTAAAATTAAACTTGCCATCTTCACCCATGGAGGGCTCCGCGCAGACTGAGCTCCGCAGGGCGGGGGCTTATAAAGCCTTGTCCCGCCCTGCAATTAGGCTAAGAACACTGATTGGTGGGTTTAAGCCAATCAGAGTGCTCTGTCATTTTACACAGCGTGGGGAAATTCCGAAGAACTTTCCCACGCTGTGTAAAATGACAGAGCACTGTGATTGGATGGCTTGAAATCCATCCAATCACCGTGCTCTGTGTCATTTTACACAGCGTGGAAAAATTCCAAAGAACTTTCCCACGCTGTGTAAAATGACAGAGCACTGTGATTGGATGGATTTCAAGCCATCCAATCACAGTGCTCTGTGTCATTTTACACAGCGTGGGAAAATTCTTTGGAATTTTCCCACGCTGTGTAAAATAACAAAGAGCACTCTGATTGGCTTAAACCCACCAATCACAGTGTTCTTAGCCTAAATGCAGGGTGGGGCAAGGCTTTATAAGCCTTCCCCCGCAAAGCTCAGTCTGCGTGGAGCCCTCCATGGGTGAAGGATTATATTTTTTTGCGCTCGGGTTTTTTATTTTATTTTAAGTTCGACGGGTATGATGGTTTTTTTATTTGGCCTTTTTTTGGGCTGAAAAATGAAGATTTTAGAAAAAAGAAGACTAATGGTAAGTTTAATTTTACTTTACAGGTTAGTAATTTTATTCTCCCCTCACTATTTTTTAGGGGGGTAGGTAGGGGTATTTTTATTTGGGTGGGGGGGTGGGTGACTAGGGGCTTGGGGACCCCTAGTCACCTTTGATGGGGTGGGGGGAATTTGACTTGGGGACCCCACCCGCTGTTTACTAGACATGCCCCTACTCGCGGTATAGCGAGTAGGGGCAAGCATTTACTAATACTAAGTAATTTTTACTTAGTATTAGTAAATGTGGCTGAAAGACCATTTTAGGTCTATCAGTCTTTTAGTAGATAACTCCCTGATACCGTGGGAATTAGGGAGTTACCTACTTAGCGGCTGCAAGATGCAGCCACAGCACGAATAGGATCGGAGTTTCATTCATTCGAATGAAATTCCGACACGAATAAAGTGCCGAATTGCGTTCTAAAACAAACGAACATACTGTTCTCATTCAGTTAGAACGCAATTCGACAGTTTCGTCTAAAATGACAGGAAGCATCGCGGGAACACAGAGGAAAGGTAAGAATTATGGGAAAATTGCTCTGACCAGCGTAAATAAAGCACACTTTACTCCTCTGTTGGTCAGAGATGGTAAAGCAGAGGAAACCTCCATAAGGCAAAGAGTCCCTACTTTGTCTTATGATTTTAAAGAAAACTAAAGAAGACAGCAAGAAAAGAAGAACAGATCCTGAGAGAGGGGGAGAAGAGGAAGAGATTGAGGAAAGGTAAGTTCGACATGACAGTGCCGCTTTAAATCGGCTCTGCATACCACAACACACAGAACTGTTTGCAAACCGAACTGTGTTACGAACAAATAATAGTCATGGTACAGCTGCACTTAGTTTATTTAACAGTGTGACTATAAGAATAGACAAGAGCAGATGCATCTGGGTGTAACTGGACTAGTAGCTGGAGCAATAGCCTGTTCAAGTGCAATTTCAAATTTCTTAACGAGTTTTTGATGCATTATCTACATATCTTGTCCCTTTAACCTAAAACTGTAGATTAATAAGGGTGCAGTAAATCCAATTTTGTTTTGGAGTAAATACACCCATTTAAATCATTGCACACCCATTTGTACTGTTGCAGGGTTTTTCGAATACACAATAGATAGCAAATTTTAACTGCTAGAATTATTGTAAGCAAAGATATTTAATCAATCATATTTTAAACAAATGTATAAACACTAAGATGCACACTGCCAGTTTTACGGTGCTTCTTCGCAACTCTTCACAAGATTAGAGGTTAATACTTCTTTAATCCTTATAAACGAGAAGGATTATTGATAGTCTTAAATACTTACATAAAAATGTGAGCTACAATGTGACCACTATACGAAGTATAAAAACTATGTTTAGCCTAAGCTTTTCACACAAATACAGACAGGGATAAGAGTACATACGTTCAAAGGCCTCTTCACTCTCGTTGTCATCATCTGAGCTGATCTCTGCGTACTTGGGCTTCTCATTTACTGTGCTACGCTTGCGTTTGTTCATTTTAACACGTTCACACAGTGGCATGGATGATTCAATTTCTGCCACCAGTTCTGGAGGAAGTTCTTTCAACACAGACTGGTCGATGCCACCTAAAGAAGGAAATAGGAACTAATTAGCATGCTGAACCAAAAAAACAATATTTATAATTAACATTAGTTCAAATACTTGAAAATCAATTTTCTAATTATTAAAAAAAAACTTTAATTATCAACCAAAAAATATTATCCAACTTACTGTTAAATGTATAGCGGACAACATGTCCTGGAAAGTCCTCATATTTAGTCCCTTTCTAGATTCCTACACTGCTCTTTACTAAAAATATTTTGTGAGCATGTTAGGGTAACTATTGAGATAATGCAAAAGAAAGGAAAGGGCTAATTCCAGAAACTGCATGCATGGTTGAAACTTTGTGGAAATTATCAGCATTATCACCATGAACAACAGGGAGAACAAATACTACATTAATCCCAGAAAGCTTATGGTGGTGCCCTTAAATTTTGTGCCGTAATTACTGAATCCATTTTGGCACTTAATTTAAAGATACACTCTAGTCCCCATAATACCTACAAGCCTAATGTAGTGGTTCTGGTGTCTATTGCCTGTCCCTGCAGGCTTTTCAATGTAAACTCTGCTTTTTCAGAGAAAATGCAGTGTTTATATTGGTGCCTAGTAATCTCTAGTGGCAGTCACTAAGACGGCCACTAGAGTTGCTTCCAGGTGTTCAGTGTCCCCGCCCTCTGCATGGAGGCACTGAACATTCCCCATAGAGATGAATTGGTTCAATGCATCTCTATGACGAGATGCTGATTGGCAGCGTGGCGTTTTGCAGCTCATGTGCAATAGCCTCCCAATGCTTTCCTATGGGAAGGCATTGGAATCGATGAGATCAAAGTTGATCATCTCAGCCACAGAGGTGGAGCAAGGCGGTGCTAGCCGCATGCAAGACCAGCATGGGGTGGGAGAAGCGGTGAGTACATTCACCTTTTCAGAACCATCTAAAGGGGGGCATGGGAACTTAAACAGCCACATGGGCATTCTAGAGTTCGGAATACATATTTGTATTCCAGACACTATAGTGTTCCTTTAATATTTACTGTTTAAATGCACCCAGACAAATTTTTAAAGGACATACAGGTTTTGCTTCGGATACCGTTATATGTATGCATTGCACATTACATATGAATAATAAAAGAAGTTAGCACTTTTAACAGTTTCTATGCAACTAATAGGACTAATAAAAATAAGAAAACAGATTCACTTATTCCTGCAAAATACCACATATGCCTAGGAGTTCAATTATTTTTTGTTAAAGGACAAATATGGCAAATAGAGCACAATGTCAAAACGAAATACTTGCAAAACTTAGTTAGCAAACATCACCAGGGTTATTTACTAAAGTGACAGCTGTTCAGAATTCACAACGATTAATATCTAAGGCCAAAATAGACAATATTTAAGCATAGGTCAGGGCTCTACAAATCCCAGGGGCCAGGTCACTGTGGCGATTAGGATTTTTGTCCTGGCGCCTGGGATTTGCTGGTCCATTCAGCTTCCGAGGTGGTTAGCTGTTTATTATTGGAGGCGGGCAGCCGGCAGGCTCATAAAGAGCATGGGCGTCCATGCGGGTGGTCGGCCGGCCAGTTCAGGAATAGAAGGCCGACCGCCCATGCTAACAGAGCGCTGGCGTGTGTGCGCACGGGCAGCAGGCTCCAGGATGTTTGAGGTACATGTGCAGCTGTAATCGCCCTGCTCTGCTCCCGCTCTCCAGTGATGCTGGGTACTGGAATATGACTTCATTCTGGTACCGGTATCACTGGAGGGCACTCTATAGAGCAGTGCAGGAAGATAACTGAAGCCCCACTGGACCTCAGGGAAGCCTAACCACTCCAGCCCTCCCAAAGGTAGGGAGGCTGGATGGTCACATTAATGTGTGTGACAAAATGGGCGTGCGCGTCAGCGAGAAAGCGTCTGCCTGCGCAAGGCAGCGAGACAGTGTGCCTGCGCATGGCAGCGAGAGAGCGCATTGGGAGGCTTTTGTGTTTCTAAACAGAGAAGTGGTCATGGTGCTTGGAGTAACCCTTTAACTATTTTACCACCAACCTCTGCCAAGTGTGATGGCACTATTTCACAAACCATGTGTGTCCCCCTATATTTGTATACTGCTACTGCCCAATATACCAACATCCTGCATGTATATAATTTTTTTTTTTCTTTAGCTATTGGGGGTTTATTATTTTTATTAGCTATTAGGGGTTTTATTTTTAGCCCTGCAGGCACTGGATAAGCCGGCTATTCCGGCCATGTGATCGCAAGGACCCCACCGGAGGGCGGATCAGGCAGACGCCAGGATCATGACCTCCGGAGTGCTAACTGCGTGGACCCAGTAAGGTCAAAGGACGGCAGGGACGTTCGATGCCGCCCGCCGGCGTTTAGGAATTGCCCTAAAAAGGACGTCATAGAACGCCCACTGTCCTTAAGGGGTTAAGTGGTAAATGCACAAAAAATACATGCCAGTGTTCTTTCTCCCCCATAGTGTTCCTCATCACCCTCAGTGTTCTACCACCCCCGTCCCAAAGTGATCCTTAACAAACCCCCCCTCCCCCACCCCCGTGTTCCTCTCTATCCCCTCCATGGTCAACACTTCACGGTGGGTCTCCTGGTAGCATGGCCAAGCGGAGCAGTGTGCACTGCAGTACAGGAGATTCAGTATTCAATGTACTCAAACCACCACAATCCAGGTACAAATTGGACTGACACTACAGAAAATAGTGGAGGGTAAGTCTGGTTGTATACCCTGCACCCGATATTTTTAGAATTGCTGCACGTTTGAGCGAGATATTAGGCCTGAGGTCTACATCGCCATGTGCTCCCTGAGTAAACTAATATGAGAACCTTGATTATGACGCATCACAACAGAGGAAGCCCACAGAGTTTGCATTCTGCATAAGAGGACAGGCTTGGACCAGGCAAGTTCTGCACAACGAGAACCACACCAGCAAACCAATGCTTTTGACCTGGAGAGGTAAATAATTTTTGGTCTGCTCGCTCCACCCTGCTTACCAGCTCACCCTGGCACCAGTGGCCCGTCACTGCAGACGGCCTGGTCTACATACTACTAGAGGCAATGGCCATCCTCATGGAGGCTGGATTCAATACTGATTGGGCAAAATACCCACTGATCTGTAAGCCCTGCTTTACGTGTGGAGTCAAGACACCCAGGGGGCAGTGGCCAGGGTGCCAGATGAAGCCCGTGGGCCAGAGTGGTGAGAGAAGCAGTGTAGGCTCCAGTGTTCTCCAGGGACGCAACCCAACAGACTGTTGGGGTAGAAGACTGGGAATTCGTGGGTCCATTGGCCAAGGACCTGAGAGACTATTTAAGCCAATGCTATACCAACTTTGGCCTCTGCTGGGGTGATGGGGAGGGGGGCTGTGCCCATTGCCCAGGGTGACCTGCTGAACTATGAGCTTGAAAACTTTTTTATGTCATATGTTCCTTTTCAGGTTTATTTACCTGTGGTGCCCGTGGGGTGTAGGCCCCTCTGGACCTCACATGTTTTTATCTACCTTGGGTGTCCGCTGGAGATTTCTCCTTGGCCCACACACAGGCTTTACATGCTAGCTTCTGCAATTATATTTCTTCACTTCTCTCTTTTCTTACCCTCACTCTCCTCTTTCTTTCAAACTCCTGTCAACGTAATGTTCCACATTGTGCGGCTCTTTTTGGTTCTGATGTATTATATGCCGTCGGTGTTTTGTTGTTATATGCATCGTGCCCCTATACATCTTGTATTTCATGCTGTATATGGCACTATTGCGTGTATATATATCCACAATGTAAACATGCATGCATTTTTTATTTTAATGGGGAGTATTTCTAAATAAATAAAAAAGCTGCAGAAGTTATGACTGCAGCCTTTGCAAGCCTCATTTCTTCCCTGGCAGAGACTTCTGGTCGGTGCCGGGGAAATGACTGAAAGCGTCTCAATGAGAAGCTTCTGATTCAGAGACGTGAATATGCACGCAGCAAAAGGGGCAGCCAGAGAAGAAGCAGGAGCTGAGTGGACGCAGGAGTTATAGACAAAGTAGCCAGGTATAATGGAGCTCTGTGTGCGCGTGTGCTCACAAGGACTCATTGGGCTTATTGCCACTTGCCATTTTTTATAATTAATATCTTCTTTCTTGGGCTGTATCTTAATACATGGGCGCCTCCATTTTGCTCTCCTCTGTCCATGATGTCTGTAGTTTGCCCTTCTGTGGGATTATTTTTACTGATGGATTTTGGGTAAATTAGATTAACAACTGAAATGGAACTTTGCCTGAGCTAAACCCGTTGCCAAAATTACAAAACATGCTCCCCATAAGAAAAAGTTTTAATTTAAAAACAAATCTGTAAAGTGACACTAAAGGCACCCAGACCACTTCATCTCAATGAAGCGGTCTGGATGCCATGTCCCCACCCCCGTTTAATACAGCAGCTGAAAACAATGCTTTCATTGCAGGTTTAACCTGGCTCTTGTGGATGTTATATTGACAGTCATTTGAGGCGCTTCCATAAAATAGAATAAAACTCAGCTATTCTAGTCAGATGGTCTAATTGGACATAGCGCGGACAATCAGAGATAATGAACCTGGATGGCTACACAGAGAAGAGCAGCACAGCATGGGCTGAAAGGTAAGTAAATAACCTTTTTTAAACCACGCTGGTACGGTCACCTAAACGATGACTAAGGCACTTAAGTGTTAGGAATTTCCAACGCTATAGTGTTCCTTTTACTATACTAAATACCTAATAACTCTATCAACAGGTTCTTACCCAGTAATTGTATCACAAAACAACAGTGAGGAAGGAGTCATGCATAAAATCCAGTTCTTATACAAAATTGGGCTTTATTAAAATGTCATCAATTCGCAAAGCAACAAAAAATTTTTTATTTTTTTTTAAAGAAAATAGTCTTTATATAGTATAACTAAGTTCTATTCTATGATTTGCTATAAAAGATTTCAAACTTCATCTTAAAAGGTTACATTCAATGAAAATACATTATTACATACATATTTCCATCCAATATAAACTTTAAGGAGGAATTGTAA